CGTAGCTCGCTGAACTCAACGGGATATTATGAAAACAACGCACCTCAAAGAAGACTGCATAAGTCTACGACCAGTCAGCTATACAAGATGGTGTTTCGAATCATAGATCCAAACATGTTTGAAACGCCAATGGCTGAAGACCAGAAAAGCGGTATCACAAGGTCAGCTGAATGAGCACGTACTGGAGTTTCCCTCGACCACTTGGACTTGTTTCGGAAGAGATCACTCTAACAGGAAAAGCAGCACTACACTGAAAAAAATGCGCTGGATGGACATCGAAGCAAGGTTTCCCAACGGAGACAGAATTTTTCGTGATGAAATGGAAATTTATCACTTTTCGAATGTGGACAGCCTCTATCCAAAAACGTCAAGTCTCAGTTCAAATGGTTTCATTGGGTACATAGAACAGACGAGTTTACCCCGGGGGGTAGGATGATAAACTGCAATCAAAGTCCGCATCCTCTTAGATCAGCCTGCGGTCTGTTTTGGACACAACCTATGAAAACTTTGATATGCAGACATTCTGTGCTCTATTCAAATACAAAGATTTAAATTATCCGATTGGGTTTCTCATACTCAAAGTTATGGAAACACTTCACTCGTGTGGAGCAACTTGTCGTCCCATTTGTGAGGTTTTGCACTCACAGTTTGGCTAAACCGCAATCAAGAGCCGACCGTACGGCACAAGGCTGGACCCGCAGACTTAGATTAGTTCGCCTGAGATGAATTCTGTGGTGATTCCTTTCAATTGCAGTAACGTTTGTTCCGTGGATATCTTAGGTGTCACCGACGACTACAACACCCGAATAAGACCATGGGACTAATCAGAAAGGCGCTTAGATGAGCTCTACGCAATCTGACCTAACGAAACGAAAAAAGTAATCTACCTCAACTACCAATTATTTATGACAAGCAAAACAATCATACATTCAACTAGCTGAACTATTATTAAGGATGCTGAAACCACATTACAAGAAAACCACTCAAGCGTTAAGGGACTGAGAGCTTGCGGAATGACGAAGAGTAGGTTTTAGTTTAGTATTTAATTGCCACAACGATTAACCCTATAATTTAATGTGCTGTTATGGGATAATATCTTTTGGCTACTCATTTGTTCAAAGCGACAGACGAAAAAAGTAGAAAACTGGGAACAGTGAGTGGAAATAGAAAGAGTGCAATCAAATTGAATGGGGGGTGGGTGGAGAAATTGAGTAAATGAACGTGCGCAACTGTTTGGGACATTCATCTTTACCATTCGGTGTCTATAACCATCGATTTACCTGATCCTCATTACCCCGAACCAGGAACTCTAACTCAATCACAGACCCGAGGAGCGATTTTCTCACTCTCATGCTAGTTCTTATTCTGATCAAATATTGCCTTATTTTACTATCTATCTCGGGAAACAGCACACACGAAGAAACCTTACCTTGTGATGCATGTAACATATGCCCCAAACATCCTAACCCATGAATATCAGACATCTGGGTAGATGACGACGCCATTATATAAAGTTCTAGGTATAACTCTAACACTGTTTGGTGAGTTATCCCCACCAGACTCTAGCCATGCGTTGTACACAAAGGTGTTTGAACGTTGGTAGCCTTTACTTATCCATCTCCCGAAATGGCCAAAATTCTGCATAATATAACAGTTACAACCCGACAGCCGCAGCATACACTGGACGCCTCACGAGTAGTCAAATGTCGTGAAGGCGCCAACACCAATTGAGTCTTGTGTGTCTGCCGAAACACCATCCGTAATTGGTCAGCCAGGTTATTTTTATCACACACCGATGTGTGATGGAGAGCAGACGCGGTTGAACCTCATAGTCACGAAGATGTAGCCGCTCAGTTAGCAAAATTGGTCTATTTTCTCCGGTACCTGCCCAGCAGTAGTATTGTGTGTCGGAACAAAAACAGATGGAAAAGGCTGTGGTCATTGGTAGCATTTGAAATCTCTTCGGTTCGATTGGGTACCGATTCACGGAAACTGTGCGTAGATGAACTAGTTTAACGACCCCGTGGTGAACTGGTTCATGTTTGACTCTCTGAAATGATGGGCAGAGGATTCTAAAGCGCAATTGGACTGTCCTTCATCGTCATTAGGCTAAACAAATTTGCCTCAAACGAACGAATTCTGCTAATTTATCTCAGTCCCAGGTGACCTCACAAGTGATATATCAACTCCATTCAATTTTAGGGATAGGAGCTCGGTTATTTAGTTTTGGTTCATAATAGTTCTTGATTAAGCATGAGAAAAGGGACCGACTCCCAAGCAGTAATTTTGACCGCTCATTTCACCGATTCAAAAGAAAGGTGAATCGAGAGAGAAGTAGCATAAAAACTATTGCTAAAAACTTCCGCAAGGTTCCTAACTCCGTCAAGTGTCTGCGACACGAAAACATTGCAAATGTGAGACTCAAACTGGCTTTAGACCTGTATTACTCACATTTTCACTTCGCGTCAAATCACGGAATACACATGACGTCGGTGAATCATGTTTCAGTTTTACTCGGCTTGAAAGCCACCTTTACCTCAGCTAATCGCACCATAATCTTTCGTTGATAACGTAGAGGAAGAGTTAATTTTTCTTCCACTTCATAAATATTTTAAGTTCAGTTCCTTTTCGCTCGCGCTTACCACAGAAAGGGGCGTTCTTCAAGGTTGTTTACTTTGTGGGGATAACTGTATTGCTGAGTTTTCAAGAGATAAGATGTTAAATGATGACTCCGGTAAGCTATAAGTTTGGCTGAATGGCAAGGACGATAGCGTAGAAGCTGAAATGAACCTACACCAAACCTCATGCCAACCAAGTGATGCAGAAGGTAAGTAGATTATATCAACCGGAAAATAACATGTGGCATGATAAAGGAGATGTCTGCATGCATGCTTGTCTAGTATCTGAAAACTTGTTCGATGTTACCGGAACACCCAGTTTTATGTGAAGGATCTAGTTTTAACAGGAGAAGTTCAACCGATGCAGAGACATGGCTGTCACCGTAGCTAAAGAGTACCACTATCAGCGGCACGTTGCGTGAGTTTGGTGAGACAACTTTATCCCCAATGCCTACCTGAGACCAAGTGTGTCCAACCTCACTCTAATTTTCGTAACGCGAGCAGATGAGTAGCCAAAAGATACCAGCAAAAATCGAAGCATGGGACAGTCAGGTTTACTGGAAGTAAACACTGAAGTGAAGGGAATTTCTCGTAAAAACCCCATTTAATGATGTTAATCTTAGTCATTGTGAAGGCGTATGGTGATTGGTTTCAAAGTCTGTACCGAAGACATGCGGCCGTTCATTCATAGAGTTGTTTTAACATTACATGGGTTACTGCTGTCATCTCGAATCAGTGATATAAAAGACAATACCTTGGGATGTAGAGCCACTTCCACAATATCATGTAGTGCTTGATCCGTTTCATCTGGTGATATTTTGAGTAGTATTGGAGTCTTCTTCTTAAGCTGGTTTCGGGCCTCGATTACCTAATAATACAATGGAACAACACAGAAAACAAATATATATATATATATATATATATATATAAATTACCACCTTCGAAAACTGTTGTGAACTAGGATCTGTATTCATGCTAAAGAACCGCTTCATCTTTATGCAATCTCTTGCTGGATTGTGCTCTTGTAGGTGAAGAAAGTCAGTTTTCGTTCTTATCACGCGGAATCTTTTATCTAGATCAACCGCAAAGATACCTGTTCTGAATGATCATCATCTAGTGACTGCATGCATCCAAAGGTTGGTAAATAGGCTCTGTAGCACATCTCTGATAAGATTGGAAAAGAAGGAATGAATTGAGTGGTTTGATTTATATCTAGTGCAGCGAACAAGTTGCGGTTAAAGCTGTTCGTAAGCTCTATTTAACTTCAAAGTGTGTTGCTACGACACAATGACAATAAACAAGTTGATGTGCAATCCTATCAACACAGAAGCAAATAGGAGCATATTGTCTTTGAAAGCGAAGATGACGATAGAGTGGCTGGAAAATGGTTAAAAATTAGGTGATATGTCAATAAACGACTTGAAAGTCGACTTAGTTCTAATAAACCAACTCTTCACGCACTTGGGCAAACCAGAGGAGTGTGATAAACGTGATTAATTATGGTGTGGGGAAGTTAAAAAAACATACACCCCGTTGACTGAGACAAACCCTATGACAACTTACCAGGAATACAGGAATAAGCAATAATTTCTTCCTCCGCCATCAATGGCAGACTACCTTTGGTAATTGTCAGCCCCCCTTCAGAAATGAGTATCACTTGAAAGATAAAGAAGTCAGTGTATAAGACGTCTGGGTCGGAAGGGTTGTCTCAACTAACCTTTAGGTATGGGGATTCAGCTTTACATTTGTAGTTGTTGAATCAGTGACCTTATTTATTTACAAGGAACGAGATAGATCTTCTTAACACTGTTATCCTATTCGGTGTATTTTTTTGCCGGAAGCGGCCGATGAACCCGTGAAAACCACTTGGTCAAGTAGGAACCGACAATATATCAACCACTGCATAAATTATTACACAAAAACCCATCGTTTCTATCATCCTTGACCTAAAAGTGGACTTCGACTCAGCTGATCGCTCTTAAGTTAGAGTAAACAAACATTGACAGCATAGACGTTCCGCCGTTTTTTATTAAGTCAATTTCGATGCATCCAAGAAATAACACTTATGGGAATGACCTAACGAAAGATATTAGCATACTAGGCCTGCAACTTAGCACGGCATGCCACCAGATTATTTACGAATAACACCAGTCAGGTATCCAAACAGGTTCCCCTGAGCTATTTTCGACAATGTTAATTCCGGAGTTGCTTCGCCGAAAACTGGGATGTATAACGAAAATAATGGAAGACAAAAATATTTACCCGATTTAACAGGCAATGCAATTTTTCCTTTTGCTGCATAGAACGAAGATTTGGAGTATTCGGACTAGACACATTGATAACCAGGTAATCAGCGATTGGTCCGAACTTGCGAACTCCAGCGACGTAATCTTCAATAGGGTCAGCAGAAGTTTTATTGCATCCAAGATTGACTCCAACGACTCCGTGGCCTGACGAGGCGAAAACACGAAGACAATTAGCGCTCTGAAAGTATCATATAAACAAGTGTTCATGGTATTAAATGCGGTAAACAGGACCATAAAGCAAAAATATGAGGATGGAACAAGAACACGGAAGAAATTTGATGCTATAAACGAGGTCTCGTGAATTTCAACCTTGATTAATCAACATGAATAATTTAGCCATGAACAGAGCAGAGAATTGGTAAACTGAGGCATTGGATGGTTGTTGATGGGTTGCGCCATATCGGATAGCGCACAAAATGAAACAGACAGATCAGACACTGGTTCATTCAGTGATCAGAAGGCTCCTGCGTTCAAATTGTAAGGTTCGGAGTTCCCGATCCTCAGTGTCGGATCAGCGGATTCGCAAAACTAATAAAATAACAACAATAGAGTCAACAGAGTTGTACGGTACTCCGCGGTTCATCGGTTCAAATTTCCTTTGCCTTGTACACCATGAAATAACCCGTGCAATTTTCAATGTTCCTCATCAAATAAATTAAAACAGTTGAACATGTACTTTGGCAGAAACTAGTAAGTCAGCTACTTTATGGATCAGGACAGTGTGACAAGACCCTTTGATATCGCGGAAAACAAGACGGACATTGTTTTAAACCAACTAAGGACATTCTAGTGAAGTGCTACAGCTAACCGGTGATTTCTTAAGGATTCCGATGGCAACCTCCTACTCTAAGTAGTTTCGAGTACACCTTCCACACGTTATGCAATTCTCATCGCCATCGATGGGCAGGATCGTGACAAAAAGCGATTACATGGGTCTATTCAATTGTGCGATCATCAGGAAGAGACTACACCCTGATTTGGTGCGATGGCTTGTGCACCTGTGACTCAACGAGCTACAGAGGATCGTAGTTGTTAGGTCGAAGAACTCATCATTGAATGTGCAGTCGGATATCCCATGATTGTAATTGGTGGATATGGGTGCTTGATGCGTACGGTATAGCGAACTGTGTGATTACGATCAATTTTTTATGGACTGCGACTTCATCTGTATTTCATTCCAGGTTAATAACAGCGTTCATTGTCCCGTTATTTTGCTTTTTGTGTTTTGCGCAATTGCTGCATCATATACTTTTTCAGTACTACAGCAAACAGCTTATCACCAGTGAGTAAGTTGCCCGTATTAGATGCTGTCGGCGATTTCTACTCGTCAGCTTCCTAGAAGTCGCTATCACGCCCTAATTGGCTCCGATTAAATTTTAATTTTTTTGACTAACGGTAGTCGGCTTGAAACATATCGTCAGATGGATCGATAACCTAAGCTCCGGCATCTGAACCGCACAATACATTGAAAAATGGATGTTACAAAATTTAACAATAGCTGGGTTGACGAAATAGATCCACTGAGTTGGGTTGGCTACCGTCATACAGGCATCCTCTATAGAAGTGCGGCAAAATTGTAGTTTCCTACGTGGGTTATGGTTTAGACGCCTTCTAGAATACTTTGTCACGCTTACTTGGAGTATTTGTTGCTTTACCATCAATTTGTATTCAGTTCAGTTTTACAACCATTAACAATGCACTTTCGTGCGCCGGTTTTGGTTGCCCATTTGGATAAAAGAGCGAAATGAAGATTGGAATGTCGAAGCAAATTCAAGCGGAAGATGGGGAAAACATATAAAGTGTGTTAGGAAAATAACGAGTAGATGCATGAGCGCCACTGTTTGCGACACCAAGCCATATCACTCAGTGTCTCTAACCATCGGTGACCATCATCCCGAGGTCCCCAGCCAGGGAGCCTAACGGGGCCTATGTGACCTAGTCTCCTGGTTAGGGTTTTCATACCCTCATGCCAGGTCTCAATTTGTATTAGTGGTAACAAGTCAATAACTGTGCGATGTCTGAGGATTCTCAGCTTTTAAGAAATGAAGATGACAACCAGATTGACGCATTTATTATTCTCACGGTCGAACTAACCACATCTTGCAATCAGCTCCTACAACGCAATTTTCGTCACAGGATATATGATTAGTCTTCACCTTCTGTTCTACAGAAGTGTGAGGAAACGTGAGGCCTCTTGTGATACACGGAGGGAAAATTATAAAGAACTGTTTGGTGACTTTTATTGCTATTAGTTGGAATCGTTAATTCTTCGCCCTGAGTCTTTAGGGTCGGGCTGTGTACGGCTCATTTATCACTACGAGGCTTAATTATAAACTGAAGGAAATCAACACCTGGCAGTGAAGTCAATTAGAATGATTGCGTTATATCGGGTGTAGATAGTTATTCAGCCTGTTTCGCAACCCGGTGATCTAATCGGTAGTGCGCCTTTGCCCCGTCAGTAAGTTTAAGAGGTTATGCAAACTTTGACCAATGGACTCGGTCATACAGGTCGCTGAAGGCTTTCCGGTTGACCAAGGTAATCAGTGGCTTAAGACACTGATTCTATTGAATCGCATCGCACTTGGATTAGCTATATTTACCTTCGAACTAGTCTTCGTTTTCTAACCTATCCGTTAATTTCAACACAGTTCGTCCAAAATGGGAGCAGAGAAACAAAAACGATGGCCGCTCGAAAGTGTACTGCTAGAAGTTGTATGAATCGAAAAATGTGAGTCCAATCGTTAGCCGAGTCAACAAATAGGCAGTACTGAAGGTACATGAAAAGGATGGGGCACCAGTACAATTCGTGGGAATATCGACCTCGGATTGCTTCAAAGTCGGTTATGAGAAACCTTCAACGGTTTTAGCTGCATAATTTATCATCATCAGTGAAACGAACTTCATTGCTAAAATCACAATGTACACAAAACAAGTTAGAATGTACAATATGGACAGGGATTAGGCCTAATTGGAGAGAGGCAAAGAAAGGGAGCCTAGATGGTCAACACACAGAGTACACAATCTAATTGTGCATACATACCTTTCACAGCATTCTGACCTGGCAAGAATTGACAACAAGAACGCCACTGTTGTCGGTTCGTTGTCGACTGTCTCCAACCAACGATCGCAGAATCTTATGGACCCCAACATGAAACAAGGAAGAACGACTCTCTATAACGATTATGTGCATTGTTTGATACCTCGCATCCGGCAGGCATCTTACTCCAACGATTGTCTGCCGCACGTAAACGGTTCACGAGTGAGAACCGGCCTGGTTTTTAGACCCGGTCCAGGTTGTATCGATCACAACTTCACTCTCCGCCAAATTCAGGAGCATCGACATTCTTTTCGTAGACCCACCATCTCTACTTTCCTCGATCTGAAAGCGGCTTCCGACTCAGTCGACTCTGGTGTTGCCTTTCCTTGAACGGTGTGCCCGAGAAGTTTATTTCAATAGTAAGATCCCATTATTAATTCAGTTTTTACAATCATTAATCACGCATTTTCGTGCGCCGGTTTTGGTTGCTGTCTTTTGGTGCCCCATTTGGATAAAAGAGAAGAATGAAGATTGGAATGTTGGAAGCAAATGCAAGCGGAAGATGATGAATTCATATAGAATAATGATGGGATAATAATGAGTGAATGCACGACCGCTACTGTTTGCGACACCCAGCCATATCACACAATGTCTCTGACCATCGGTTACGATCATCCCGAGGTCCCCAGCCAGGGAGCCTAACAGGACCTATGTGACCTTCGGTTACGATCATCCCGAGGTCCCCAGCCAGGGAGCCTAACAGGACCTATGTGACCCAGTTACCTGCTTAGGGTTTTCATAGCACGAGCGCCACTGTTTGCGACACCCAGCCATATCAATCAGTGTCTCTAACCATCGGTGACCACTGTTTGCGACACCCAGCCATATCACTCAGTGTAGCTAACCATCGGTGACCATCATCCAAGCCAGGGAGCCTAACGGGGCCTATGTCACCTAGTCTCCTGGTTAGGGTTTTCATACCCTAGTGCCAGGTCTTAGCTTGACCGCCCTTCGCTTTTTTCCAACCGCTACCAATCTTGGCAAACATCGCTAGCCGCGGCAATCTATCTGCTGACATGCGTAACACACGCACCAACCAGCGTAATCTATGCAGGTCGATCGATCACTTGTTCCAATGGACGACCGCAAATGCCGATTTGCAACTCTCGGTGATCCTGTATTGTGGGCCTCCGTTTTCGGCGACTTTTCTGTGGTTGTTTATCAGGCGTAGGGAGAATTTCACTCGTAGCAG